TACTATAATTAGGGTTTATAGTCTTGGATTCAAAGCATGTACAATAGAGAAACCTAGATCCAAGCATTAGGGTTTGTATGAGCACATAGGATGTCTTATGACCAAAACCCATCAATATCATACTAGCACATAGAGCATATTAAGTAGTAGAAAACCATACAATTATCACAAAGACAACTATCTCAACTATAATTAACTACTAGTGGGTCGACCTTGGTGTATTAGACCCACTTCTACTGGAAGGTAACTAACCTCAATGTCGTGTGTCTGCACTGTCCTCGGCGTGAAAATCGACTCTCCTTGACTCCTCAATCCCTACACGACCACTTTTCTAAGTTATTAAATCATACTCATAACCCTTACAAGGGTCACTCAAGACCAAGTCAAAGTCAAAGTCAAAATCAAAACCCTGGTCAAAATCAACTTTTGGTTAAAGTCAACATCCGGTTGACTAGACTAGCCAAGTTGGTCCACCAACTCGTCGAGTCCTTACGTCCACAAAATGCCATAATCCCGTCCCTACCCGTCGAGTCTAGTAAGAGCTTGACGAGTTAGCCTTCAACAACACATCGAACTATCTTCAACCGACTTGTCGAGTTTATCCTTGAACTCGTTGAGTTCATGTTCATCCGTATGAAGGTGTTCATTCTATGACTCGGTGAGTTCATCCTTGAACTCGTCGAGTCCTTTGATCTTCAAGTCCATAACAACCCCTAACAGGCTAAGTGTTCCTTCCACTCAACCAAGACCATTTCCAGAAGACATTCGGGGAAAATGCGACCCGACTCGCCGAGTGTCACACCCCCAAACCAGAAGGGCGGAATCATTCGAGGGCAGATGACTTCATGTAGTATCGTAACAACTAAATACATAGTAAAAAAAGTAATACAACCATCATATATATAATTTAAAAGTTTACATTGTTGAAAGGTACTTGTTTCAAAACAAATTACAATATGATGTCAAAATGAAACTAAACTGACGCCACAACGTCCCTTCTTCAAAAGTTGTTTGTTTACCTGTTTTACTGAATTCATGAGAAATACAAGTAGTTTTGAAAGAGTAAATCAGCATTTAAGCTGGTGAGTTCATAAGTATTTAGTAACAATGTTTGTATGAAATAGAATGAAATGGATTGTACATGTTTGAATGTTCCTATAAAATCCCATATTTTCTACTATAGTAGATGGTCGTTTAATTGTTCCAAAACTTGTAATGCAATAGTGCTTTTCATGCCTAAAATAGTTGATTTATGTATAAATCGCTAAGGCATTTGAAGAACACCGTAAATGGTTAAACCCAATTCGATGAGCTGAGTATCAGACTCGACGAGTTGACTCGTCTAGTGGCAGATTTTTTGATCTTTTGGTCAGATTTTGATTGATAATTATCATAACTCGTTTTTAATGCCTAAATTCGATTTGTCTGATTGGTATTGATGGATTTGGTTAAATATGGATACTATAAGATTATTTTTATTCAAATATTTAACCTAGTAATTTTGAAAAAGTTTTAAATTACACCATTTTGGTTTTATAGTTTAAATTTGAAATTAAAAGTTTTAGTTTTGCAAATTTAAATGGTTAAACCCAAGTATTTTGAAAAGTTTCAAAAGTGCATCTCATGGTTTTATAATTTAAAATTTGATTAAATAGCTTTAATTTTGAAATCTTAAATTTAGAACCTTAGTATTTTGAATATTTTAAAATACACCAGCTCTGATTTTATTAATAAGATTAATTAAGTGTCTAATTAAAAGAGAGAATTAATAAATCCATAATATGGTTTAAATTTAACTAAATTAAAAGTATAATTTATTAAAAGATTAAACCATTTAGTATTTTAAACGTTTAAAATACACGGTTATACTATATACGATTAAAATTCTAAGATATTATATATATGTATATGTAAAAAATCAGTCTTACCATTAGTAGGCCTCATTCACGAAGCTGGTCTATAAAGGGTGTCTAAGGAAGCCGCTTGTAAAATGACCGACATTGGGTATCCACTTTTATCCACCGCACCCTTGACTAGTGGAGGGTTGTTATCCGAACGGCCAAGATAGGACACAAGCTCTCATTATAATTATAATGAAATACAAAGTAACTAAACGCTTTTATAAATTCTCAAATCTTAGTTACTTTAGGAAAATGTGAATTTGATGCTAACCCATGAAATTGCACATTGCACCTTATTGGTCGTTAGTGAAGCATGTGTGGTTAATCGACACACTAATATGGGACTAATGAAGGGTGGCAATGGGTATGTCGTAGATTATCATAGATCAATGGAACGTGTGTGGCTAATCGACATATTAATTAGGTGATAAATGATTTCGAGAGTACCAAGCTAATTTGCATGTTCATTCACACCTTGTTTGTGATTCTCTGTATCCCAGTGACAAACTTGAAGGGCATAATCGAGATTAAACATGCCATGGAAAAGTTCAATTAATCTCACAAGATCTAAGAGTTTCATTTAAAAACATTATTCATTTAAAATTTCATTTTCGTAATGGAATTGGTCGATCGTCATTTACCTACCGACAAATAATTTACAATTGGATTATGAAATCCCTCTTTTGAATTGTGAATTATTGTGTTAGGTACTAGCCTTAATATTTCATTTGGGTGTTATATTAAAGATTAAATCAATTAACTTGAATTTCTCTCTTTGTAGATGCCTGGTTCTGACAACTATGGTCTTCTTTATCCTTATGGAAAAAGCTTTCCTCCTGAAGATGATATTCCACGTGACGATCGAGGTGAATGATCAATCCTTTTTTCGTGCTTTGGTGGAAATTCTCTTCCTCCACCTCCTTTAATTATTCTCCCTGACCCACGTGTTCGTCGACTAGAAAAGTTCAAGGTCACTCAAGCCCTATTAGCAAGCAAACACCGAGATGGAAAGTCTGTATGTGCTCACATCTTGGAGATGAAATCACACGTTGACCAACTAGGAATGTTGGGTGTCCTTTTTCCGAGGAAGTTGGTTGTTGACTTGGTTCTCCAATCGCTTCCCAAGTCGTATAGTCAATTCGTTAAGTACTATTATATGACAGACCATGACGTGACCCTTATTGATCTGGCATATTTGCTAATTGTTGCTGAATCAGCAATGATTTGGCGCACTGGTCAAGCAAATTTGTTTGGAAGATCTGCATCCCAAATTTCCATGGACCCTAACAATGGAAAAGGTGATAGTCCAGAAATGGTTTATTCTCCTAAGGGAGAGAAATTGGTCGTGATCGAAAAGTTTGATCATAAGAGAAATGCAGGTTCCGATATAGTCTCATGTACCATTCTGAAAGAGTTTGTTTGTTTCTATTTCCAAGAGAAGGGGCATTGGATGTGAAGTTGTCGTATCTACCTGAAGGATCGCAAGGATGGTAAAGATAAATTGTATGACTCTACTTCAGGTAAGTCCGCTGTCTAACTCTATTAAGTTTCTAATTTACAGATTCTTAATACATGATGTTATAAGATTGCATTTTGATTTTTTGTAGGAACAAAGAAAAGAAAGGAAGCTTAAAGGAAGAGTAAGTTGAGTCTGATCGCGAAGAAATGGATTTCGATCGCATGGTTCAATGATCAGAATTTTGAGTTGTTACTTAGGAGTTATGATAGATTGCTTAGGAATATTTAGAAACATAGTTTTTATATAAATTTGCATTGTTCATTCATAGTCAAAATACATCTTAAAATCAATTTGGTGCTCTTAATTTGCATAAATAAATAATTATAGATATGTTCATTCATAGTTAAAATACATCTTAAAATCAATTTGGTGCTCTCAATTTGCATAATCATTATGGTTAAAGTTTATAAATTGACATATGCTAGTTAGTCTGATTATGATAACTAGTAACCTCTAATTTGGCAACCAACAAAATTAATCAATTGTTTGAAATTAACCATAAAAAAAGGGGGTTCTTGTTTTGGTGAAATTACTTTTTATTTATTGTTTCCATTTAGTTTTTTAGTTTCATTTGATTAATTGATTGTTAAAATAAGGTAGTTATTTTTAACAACAAAATCTTTTTTTTTTACTTTGTTGTTATTAGTTTAATTAACATTTTAATTATTTGATCTATATTATTCTTGTTCTCTGAGTTCGACATCCTTTTCTTATCTTAAATCATATTAATTCATAACTAAATACATTATCTATTTATATTTAAGAACAATTAAGATTTGATAGGAGTTTATAAATAAAAATCAATGCATAAATAGCACACCAACTATGTTCGCCAACATATCCCCACCGATACCACCATCCCACCCCCATTGCTACAACTGTCGTCACCGCCACCGTCCCCAACACCACCTCATCCATGACCAATCCCCGCTATACTACCATCATCGTTTTCTAAAAATAAATATTGATAGAAAAATATATATCTAAACACGTTTTCTAATTTTTCTAAAACAAAAAATTGATAAATTGATAAATTTTAATTAAACTAATTTTTTAAATTTTCAAAAGAAAGCTCAAATGAAAACTTATTTTATTTTTCTAAAAACAAAAAATAAAAACAAAAACTGTTTCCAATGACTAAATACAACCTTATTATTTTAAAAGTTCTTAAAAATAAACGTTGATTTAAAAAAAAAAAAAATAGCTATAAAAATCGATCTAACTACTAAAAGTTCATTGTTTGTTTTATTTTTATCAATTTGCTCTTACCTATTAATTTATCTTACTTTTAATGATAAACTTTTTTATTACAGTACCTAACAAAAATAATCCAACAAATCATAACCGTTAAAACACATATTGCTCTTAAGTTCTCACCTTATTTATTGTATAAGATTACAAGCATTAAAAGTGCATAAATAAGATTCCTTTTTGGTAAGATATTCAATTAAATATAATTTTTATAATATTATTGAATATGGGATGCACTAGAAAACAAAAGGAGAAAATGTATTTACCAAGTTCAACGCTAGTGGACCCACCTTTGAAATCTGGGGCACAGACGGCAGTTTTTTCTTCTGATGGTCTGACCTCGTCGACTGCTTTTTTAATCATTTATCTCTACTATAAAACAGAAACTCCTCCCTTTTCTCCTTTTCTCTCTCTTCGTTGCTCCACTTCTCTATCTCTTTCTCCCTCTACACAAATTACTTGTTTTTTTTTTTTAAATAATAATAACATAGAAATTATGCTCTTGGTGTCCCTTTTGACGTGTGAATTCTATGCGTGAATCAACGGAAAGTCTTCTCCCTCACACATCCACAACCCAATATGAAGATTTAAAGAATCTTGTTTTAGGGTTCTTGTAATTTTTAGAGGAAAAAGGTCTGATCTTGCTTGATTTCTCCTTGTTTCCTTCAATCAAGTTGTTTTCAATCTGGGTTTTATCTCTTTTTCTTTGATGTTTTGAATTTTACTATAATTTAGTTTCTGGGGTACCCTTTTATTGAAGAAAAAAAACTGTAGATGCCATTCCCCTTTTGTGCTTGAGATTAAATTTAATCTGGGTATTCGTCTTTCGGGTCTCTGATGACTTGTAATATGATGAAGTTTTGAAACTTTTTTGGGTTTTTTGTTTAATTGTTTAATTAGTTAATTTTTATTTTGGGTTTTCGGATTAGGGTTTCTTTGGGGGGTTTCGGTGTTGGGGATTTATGGACGAGGTGGAAGCAGCTAACAAAGCTGCCGTGGAAAGTTGTCATAGAATTTTAAATCTGTTGGCTCAACCCCAAGATCATGTACAATCGAAAAACCTGATGTTACAAACAGGGGAAGCTGTTGTTAGATTCAAGAAAGTTGTATCTCTTCTTGACGATGGTTTAGGTCATTGTAGAGTGAGAAAATTGAAGAAAACTCAAAACTTGATCCCCCAAAACATACTCCTAGACAGCACCCCAGTTCAAGAACCACTGAAACCCCTTCAATTTCTTCTAACACCTCCTAATCAAAGTCACCCAATTCAGGAGATCGGTTCAAACGGTGTGAAGAACACTCTTTCCTTAGTGAACCATAAGCCATCACTTGAATTGAGCACCACTGGGAAAAACCCGATTCAAATTTCCCAACAGAACCCTAACCCTAATTCTAATTACCAATTCCTGCAACACCATCACCATCACCAGCAACAGGCACAATTACAGCTCAAACAGCAGGCTGAGATGATGTATCGACGCAGCAATAGTGGGATAAATTTGAATTTTGATAACGCCCCTACCATTTCTTCTAATAAGTCTTTTATCTCTTCATTAAGTATGGAAGGGAGTGTGACTACTTTAGATGGGAGTTCTTTCCATTTGATTGGGTCATCTCGGTCAACCGATCAAGCTACCTATCAACACAAACCCAGGTGTTCTGCAAGGGGAGATGATGGAAGCACAAAATGTGGGAGTTCTGGTAGATGCCACTGCTCTAAAAAGAGGTTACAATCTTTACTTCGTTACAATTACCCATGATTTGGTTTATAACTTATGGTAATATCATAATTTGATATTGTTTTGTTCATCAGGAAGCATAGAGTTAAGAGGTCAATCAAAGTTCCAGCTGTTAGCAACAAGCTTGCAGATATCCCCCCTGATGAGTATTCTTGGAGGAAATATGGCCAAAAGCCCATCAAGGGTTCTCCGCATCCCAGGTGAACTTTTATTGATGTTCTATCAAAAACCATATACAAACTTGCTTTAAGAATTATTATGTTTCTAAAAATATAAATCTAGTTTCTGGTTTACTATTCGACACTTGTTTAGTTATCCATGGGTTCCATTTACTTTAAATCCACAAATTAAGTCCAATTCTTGAAACAAAAGCAAGAATTTTTATAGTCTTTGCTGGAAATGGCACTGTATGAAGATTCAAGAACTTGAATGTTGAAGTCTACATGCATTTACTTTGATAGTATATAAATGTATTAGATATATGTTGAGTTTGATTGAAGTGAAGTAAAGAATGTTTGGTTGGTTGGTTGATTGTGAACAGGGGCTACTATAAATGCAGCAGCATGAGAGGTTGCCCAGCAAGAAAGCATGTGGAAAGGTGTTTGGATGATTCAACAATGCTTATTGTCACCTATGAAGGGGAGCACAACCATACCAGGTTACCTTCCCAATCTGCAAACACATGAAAGGATATCTTTGATGGAAAGCTCTCGAGCCCAGAGTTATTTGTTGTCTGTTTAATCTTTTCTTGATCGCATTGGGTTGCTCCCGTATATGTTTTTAGTGCGATTTGGGGGAAATATATATGAAGGGATGTGTCAAATTGGACAAATTTTCATCTGGGGTGTGTTTGGTTTTTGTTCTTTTTATCAACAACTTAGAGTAGACTTTTGTTTTGTGTTCTTTGTTGTGGTACATTGTGCCTTTGGATTGGCTAAAATGAAACCCCTTTTGCTGGGCTGAAAGCCTGGAATGATTGGTTGTTTTGCGGGTTAGAGAAGTTAAATAGTGGTTTTGTTATTGTCAAATGTATGTCTTTGAATTCCTGTGCTTGTGGTTCTTTATAATTAGCTTAGCACCATAAGACTTCTTATAGTAGATAATAACCACAAATCGGAGATGTAGATTTGATAGAAGCCAGTCGGTGCTTGTGGTGGTTTTGTAGAGTGGCAATAAGGGTGGATACTATCAACTCCAGAAAATGAAATTCTACCGTGTGTTTGAAATTGTATGGATGGTATTAGAACGACCACAATAGGAGAGTTTTTTATGGGGTTTCTCATGTAAAAGTTTTAAATGAAAAAACTTTTAAAAAGCTCCACAATAGGAGAGTTTCTCGTATTGATTGTTATGGGTTATTTAAATTAGTTGAAAACACATGGAACCCATATAATTAAAAAAACCTCTTGTAAGTTTGTTAATTAGTGAACATTTTGAAAAAACTTTCATTTGAAAAAGCTCCTTCCATATTTTTTTCATATTTCATAAGTTCTTTTTGGATGAACAGGCTCTTGAAAAAACTTTTATTATGGAAACTTTTGGATATACCCTTCACATCATACTCACATTATTATAAAATACTCACCATTTTACATCTCAATATTCCTTTTATTTTTTATCTATCTAATAAAAGTATTAATCAAAATGAATGGATGTATTGTCATATGGTTCATACCAACATTCACTACGATGTGGTATTCCACATCAAGGATGGATGTTTATATTTATCGTGGTACTCCACATCAAGGATGGATAAGGATGGATGTTTACATTTATCATGGTACTTCACATTAAGGATGGATGTTTACATTATAAGCATTGTTGCACACATTACTTTCACAAATAATTTATAATTCCCTACTATGGAACAATTTCTACAACCACCAAATTTTCAAATCCACCAAACCTTAGGAGGAAAAAGAAGAAACTGTTTTAGCTCGTGTTGGTATTTCGATGTTTGAATACCCCTTCAAACAAAGATATACCTTTTGGGAATCTATTCTATACCACTTCCCTAACGAAATGGGGAATGGTGTTTATCGGCATTTCGATAGGCTTTTGTCAAAATGATGCGATGTGAGTTTTAAAATAATTGAATTTAATGGCATCTACAACCACCTCAAAAACACACATCTAAATAGGAGTAACGACTCTGAGATCCTCGATGCGGAGCTCAAACAATACCAAGAATCTCACGTAACTATAAACTTGTTCCATATCTCGACGCTTGGCATGAGTTTCATAATACTCCAAAATCGTTTTTTACATAGGGAGACATGTATGACTTTCATGTGTACATACATATCAACATTATATCAACACTGTTAATTCAAATGATGCTCTCAAACTAACGAAGATATGAGATCGTGCAAATGTGGATTGTGTACACAAATGAGATTCCTTATATGTCGTTAGTACATACAATACCTAGATTATTATATTTAAATTTCATGTGTACTGAAATTGCCATATTTATACCTATTTTTAGGTAATATTTAAGTAAATTTTTATTAATAAGTAGGTGATTTGTTTAGAATAATGGTACTTATGAGCTTAAATGTTATTTGCAGCAAAAAAGAAGACATTTTGAAGAAAATGGACTAAAAGCGTTGAAGAAAGAAACTTTGGGAATTAAAATATTAAAAGAGAAGAAAATCTAGAAAAAAACGTTCTCACGACGTGAGAATTAAAGGATTCACGACGTGAAGAGCTGTTTCTAGAAGATATGTACGCGGGTGAAGGAATCCTTGAAGGGCACGATTATCTACAACTCACGACGTGAATTTCTTATTATTCCTTGAAGATATGGCCAACTTTGAGCAACAGACGGGGGAGTCATTATACGAAGCATGGGGATGGTACAAGGGCTTGCTTAGAAATTGCCCTCAGCATGATCTAAATGTGCAACAAGAGATCTCAATCTTCTATGATGGAGTCAATGTTATGACGAGACAACTCCTTGACTCTCAAGGACCGTTGACAAAGAAAAATCCAAGGGATGTCAAGGAGTTGATTGAAGAATTCGCGAAGCACTCTCATGAATACCACAACCCTAGGCAAGATGGAATCAAAGGCGGTGGAGGGGCCCAAACTGAAGAAATAGCAGTTGTGATGGCTATGCTGAATAATTTGGATCGAAGGATAACTCAAATGGACCAATCAATACATGCCATAAGAGTGGGTTGCGAAAGATGTAGTGGTCCACACTTGACCAAGTACTGCAATTTAGATGAGTTTGGGAACAAAAAAGCTCAAGTGTGCTACTCGAGTGGGGATAAGTTTGATGAGGAATGGAGGAAACCGAAGAAGGAGTGGTTGCCATATGAAGAGTATAAAAAGCAAAAAGAAGAGAAGTATAGGCAGACAGATCGAGACTTCTATCAAAAGGAGCAGCCACCAGCCGAGAAAAAACCCGATCTAGAGACCATGTTGTTAAAGTTTATGGAAGCTTCGGAAAAGAGACACGATGCCACTGATTCTGCTATTAGTGAACAACAAACTTTAATAAAGAATCAGCAAGCTTCCATCCATAACCTTGAAGTACAAGTTGGTCAACTAACTACTCTAGTTCATGAGAAGTTATCCCCGAAAAATCCCGAAATGAAGACCCAGTCTTATGTAATGGCCGTAGACAGTAAAGAAGAAGCCATCTCTGAGTTCCTGGAGGCGTTGGAAGAAGAACCACAATAGCCCGATCCAAAGCTGAAAAAGACCAAGCTCGAAAATCATGAAGTTGCTGAATTCCAGAATTCACGACGTGAACCATATAAGTTCACGACGTGGGCCCGTCATGAACAGAAAAATTATGTAGTTGGTTCGATTTATTAGCTGCATTTGCCTTTTCCTTCCCAAGCTACCCTTAGTCCACTGGAGAAGGAGCATATAGAGTTTGTCAAGCATGTGAAAGCGATCCCGATTAATACTCCCTTTGTCGAGTCCATATCCGAAATTCTCGAGCATCAGAAATTACTGCAAGAATTGATAGACACTCGCAAGCAGTTAAAGCAGCAGTTTAAGGTGGTTCTAAGTGAACAAAGCTCAAAAGTTGTGTTGGGAGAGACACCAGAGAATATGGGGGATCCTGGACGCCTCACTCTTCCGTGTGAGTTTGGTAATAAATTGAAGGTTAATGCTTTAGCCGACTCTGGGGCTAGCATTAATTTGATGCCTTTTTCATTTTATCAAAAATTGGAAATTCAGAAGATGAAGGCTACAAAAATGACGATTCACATGGCGAACCGTTCAGTGACACAACCCCGGGGCATAGTGGAGGATATTTTGGTGAAAATTGGAAATTTTGTTTTTTCAATAGATTTGGTAGTTTTGGATATGAAGGAAGATCCCGATGTTCCAATTATCCTTGGCCGTCCATTGCTTAACACTGCTGGAGCTTTGGTTGATATTCGCGAGTCTAAGCTCACCTTGAGAGTTGGAGATGAAAAAGAAGTTTTTGGGATAGAAGATGATGTCTTCCCAAAAGAACATGTTCAAGAAGAGGTGATTACAATCAATGAAGATAATGAACTAGAAGAACTGGAAAAGCTTATGGAAGAATAGATCAAGGCAGTTCATCAAGTTAAAAGAACAAAACCTAGAGCATCTGTTCCATTTTTGGTTGAAGTCATGGCGTACAAGAGTCCACCTTCTTGGGTGAGCAAAGAGGATGCGGAGATGACAAGTAATGAAAAGGAGATCACTTCAAGAGTGACAAAGCCGGTGGTGAAAGAGGAGGAGGATGCTATGGAGTGCAAGGAAGAAACTAAAGGGACCAAACGCAAGCTTGAAGAAGAGGTCAAAGCTAAAAAAGAGAATTCAAAGAAGGCATACAAAAGGCGAGTTCAAGCTTATAAGAGGCGATTCAAGGAACAAAATATCCTAGTGGTGGATTCTTCTGAGGACTCAACGTAGGAGGCACGGAGTCCAACTCAAGACTCAAAGAAAAAGAAGCGCTTATCGGGAGGCAACCCGAGTTTGGGTTGCAAATTTTTCTTTTCTTTTTGCATTTTAGTTTTAAAAACTTAGATCATGTCATCCAACTCTATTAGAACATAATTAAGCACTGAATGTAGGGACCTTAAAATGGAAGTAGTAATAATTGGGAATTTAGTTTAAAGTCAAAATGGATTTTTCATTCCAGAGCATATTCACGACGTGAAGTTTAGCAATTCACGACGTGAATAGTGAATAAACGGGATAGATACTCCATGATATAGTTTAGCCCATTAGACTAACAAGCCCAAGATCAGTCCGTGAGTACATGGCCTAATTTTAGCCCAAACCATATTCACGATGTGAATCATTCAGAACTCACGATGTGAGTTTTTGAAAACACGGAACCACAGAATAATCCCTAGAAACTAGTAAACCCTCATTTCTTTATTTTTCACGAAGTGGAAGCGGAAATTGGTCCCCCCTTGGTCCCCATTGCTGCGATTATAGCCGACAATCCACACGTTTTCTCTGTGCTTACATACTACTTCAATCTAAAGGTAACATTTCTAATTACTGACCTTCATTTATCTTTAATAGTTGAAAAAAGGGATAGGGTTTGTTCTTATGTTGAATTGTATGACATAGCCCTAAGATTTGTAAATTACCCTTGGAATGTAATGGATTGATGGTTAAAAATGCTATAGGAGTAAACCCCAAGCACTATCATGGCCGATTCATACAGAATCCAGAACGAATTCTCGAACCTATCTACGAATTCACGACGTGAATACTGAACTGAGAATTTTCTTTGTTTCCTTTATGCCTAAATTGTGGATTATTGTTTTGGCTGTGGTTTTTTTTCTTGTTTTTGCAGGAATGGCTCCAAGAAGAGAGATTCCAACTGGGGTTGCGGGTTTGCACCCGTTTTACAATTTTCCCGCAACAATGGCCCGAGATGTCTTGACCCATTGGAACAACAGATTGGGGTGGCTCTACAACAGAGAAATTGCAGTTGCTCCAACAATCAACTGGACACGGTTGAGGGAAGTAGGGCTCGTAGACCGGGTGGGCCCATTTTTGACAAAGATATTTATTGGAGATGGGTTTTCGTTTACCTGTTCTGGTTGGCATAATCTGTTCCAGGTACAAGAGCGGGTCTACAAGGAGTTTTGTGTTGAGTTTTTCGCAACGGTGACATTTCAGGAAACTGTTCAAGATCCACATTGGCCACAGGCGTTGGTATTTCGTTTGGGGGGTGAGTACCGGGAGTGCGGCTTGGTTGAATTTGCTTGGAGAGTAGGATTGTATGATCGATAGGAGGCTATGACTCCCGAGTTTGGCATGTTTTTGAGTGCGGCTGCTAGAGGTTATGCGGAAGGTGTCACGGGGTATTCTTTCTGGCATAATATTGCATCCGAAATGTTTAATTCCGGAGTGTCTCCCGAGAGTTGTATTAGGTCCCCGATCCATCGCTTACTCCACCGGTTCATCACATTTTCCATCAACCATAAGAGGCATGGAGACAAAGTGACTAAACGGAACTTATTCTTCTTATGGTGCATCTTACAGCCTGGTGTCTGTTTCAACATCCCGTATTTTTTAGCCCATTTTTTGGCTGGGTCTGTGTGACATCCCCATTTTCACGGCCAGAAAAGACTGATTTTTTTATGCTTGCTTTTAAAATCAGAGTACTCTTTTAAAGAAAACAGTTGCGGAATTTGTTCCCAAAACAAGATATGATAATAACTTATCAAAACATTTCTCGAAGAGAATGTATTTTCATTTAATAATAAAACCTCGGGATGTCATGTTCCGATACAGACATATAAGCATAAACAGAACTTACATTTAATTACACAATTGATTTATACCTCCTTTAAATCTCTCTTTTAAATATATATCCGTATTAATACCTGTGATACAAAGAAAACTGAGTGGGTCAGGCTTGGGAGCCTGGTGAGCATATAGGGTTTTCATCCCACAATGTTATATCATATACTTATAAATATAGAACATTCAAACTTGTACAATTTCACCATATAAAGGCAACTCTTATCCCACCCCATCGATCCTCACAATGACACGATCTAAACTCTCGTATCTACAATTTTCCTCTTTACTTGATCCCTACTCACGGATCTAAAAGTAACATTTTTCACCTGATCCATACTCACGGATCTCAAACTACTTGATCCATACTCACGGATCTAAAACTAACCTCCGGATCTGATCCATACTGCCGGATCAATAATTGTACCCAATCCATACTCCCGGAATAAGGACAATTAACTGTACCCTAATCCTAATCTGATCCATACTCCCGGATCAATAACTGTGCCCAATCCATACTCCCGGACTAGGGATAATTAACTTAGTTTTAATCCATACTCCCGGACTAATAACAAGTTTTATCTCTTTACCTGATCCATACTCCCGGATCTAAAACTAACCTCTTGGTCTAATCCATACTCGCTGAATAACTAGATCAACAACAACAACATCGGGACCTCTCATCTGTTTATCACACATCAACTATCTACCCATGTTCTACCCAACATATTAGTAGATAAAAATATATATTTTTATACATAGTTTAAAACCTGTATAACATTCTCATTCAATACCTATTCCACAAAACAGATGAGGCATATCCACATAATACGTATTTCATAGAGAATAAATCAGATCTATAAGATAGAAGAAAGTGAATATACATTCACGCATATAACAACAAAATATACACATAACACGGATTTTATACTAAATACTTAATAATTATGCGTTAGAAGAAAGTAACCACACACTCACTTGATTAGAAGATGATCGGACAACACTACGACTTGTAGAAGTAGTATTCTTCGGTAGATTTGTAAGATCTTCACAAAAACTGGGCTCCTCGCGGGCAGAGCTTCGGCTCGGGAATCGCACTTCTCGGGATCTTCGGGGCCTCGGGACTTGCTTCGGGGCTCGAGAATGATACCGGGGCTTCGGGATAATTCTTGCACAAATAACGATGCACAAAATGCGAGAAAACGGGAAGAAATGAGCAAAGAAGTCGGTTGCCCTCGACACCCTTTTATAGGGGGCTGGAAGCCCATTTACGCTGGGCGTAACTTCACATTACATTGGGTGTAACGTGGATCAGATCGCTGACTCCCCCCATTGATAATATCGGTTAATTTATAATTAAATTAAATATCGAAAATATTTAATAAACTTCAAAAATTTATATATTCCTCATACGAACTCCGTTTTCGACGTTCTTTATATCCCTGCGTAGGTGAGACTACGCTCTAAAACTTTCGTTTAGACTCCGTCGGCTAATTTTGATTTTATTTTTATTATTTATTTTTAGTAGGCCGGGACAGGAAAACTCCATTATAAAGTCATAACTTCTTTATCCGACGTCTGTTTTCGCCTATCTTTTTATTGTTTATCTCCTATTAACGAGACCTTCGATTCTCATTTAAATTGTTTCGGCTAAAAACCACTCGGTCTCAAATCGAGTATTCGGGCTGCATACCGCTAAGTCGAAACTTAGAAAAATCATAACTTCCTCATACGAAGTCAGCTTTGGACGTTCTTTTTATGCACGCTCATGGTTTAAAGAAATCTACGACTTTCGTTTAGATTGCTAAGGCTAAATATCGATCTAACGTAAATTCACTATTTACGTCGCGCTGTGTCGTGTCGGTTCTGTCGCGAAACTTCGACAGGTCATAACTTCTTCGTTATAACTCGGATTTCGGCGTTCTTTATATGCACGGAAACCTTGTAAGATATTCTATAACTTAGTTAATATTATTCCTTCAAAATAATCTTCCATCAAAAAGTCATTTTTGACGCTTAACGTCTCTAATTGACTAGCCCGGATCTACAGGCGTTACAGTCTGTCGCGAGTTCGCGCCCTGGGAGCCCCATTTGTGGGGGGCACTTGGTTACACGTTTGGCCCGCTCGTATCATTTGGTTGTTCCTGATATTACTAGATCCATGACGTGTGTGGACGAGCATGAGTTTGGCATGGGGTATTTGGAAACTATGCGGGTGGTCAGAAATTTTGGGTCGCATTGGGGCATAGTACCATCAGATGTTGAGGGTGTTAATGATGACGAGGAGCCAGCCGACCAACCTGCGCCAGAGCCAAGACCGAGGCGCGGGAAGTGAGAGGAAGGGGAGATTGCGGGCAGCCAATACACCACCTTGTAATATATTCTATAACTTAGTTAATATTATTCCTTCAAAATAATCTTACATCAAAAAGTCATTTTTGACGCTTAACGTCTCTAATTGACTAGCCCGGATCTACAGACGTTACAGTCTGTCGCGAGTTCGCGCCCTGGGAGCCCCATTTGTGGGGGGCACTTGGTTACACGTTTGGCCCGCTCGTATCATTTGGTTGTTCCTGATATTACTAGATCCATGACGTGTGTGGACGAGCATGAGTTTGGCATGGGGTATTTGGAAACTATGCGGGTGGTCAGAAATTTTGGGTCGCATTGGGGCATAGTACCATCAGATGCTGAGGGTGTTGATGATGACGAGGAGCTAGCCGACCAACCTGCGTCAGAGCCAAGACCGAGGCACGGGAACGTGAGAGGAAGGGGAGATCGCGGGCAGCCAATACACCCACCTGCTTCCATGGTTGGTACGCCTTTTGGGAGTGATATGGCTGGTTACTTTGACCATTTATCGTTGAGTGTCAACTGGATAGGTGGCACTGTGTAGAATGTTGTCCGGCATCTTGGGGTGGAGCAGCCGCCTCATTTAGGGTATCATTACCCGATTTGCCCACGATGGTCGGAGTTTGGTGGACGCGGAAGTGATGGAGGTGGAACTAGTGGAGCACATGATGATGAGGAGGATGATTGATCGTTATTTATTTTTTATTTTTAGTTTGTTTTTATGGGATTGTAAGAACTACTTTGAATATTATGTTACTTTTATTCTTCGTTGTTGGTTGTTTCTCAGAAATTGCTAGGAGCGCCTAGAGAGGATAGCGAGTTAGGAGTGCGTACATCTTTAGTCGGGAGTGTTTAAAGCCGGGAGTCGAGACCCATATTTTCAAAATAAGTGTGGGGTGAGTCAAGAGAATGGAGAGTCAACAAAAGAGTCAAAAACTGATGAATTTAGAAGAGTCTTAATACATTACGACATTGGATTAAATTAAGACATTAGAAGAAGATTTGGGCAATATTTTCTGCTTGTCCAGTTTTCACGACGTGAACTTTTCTTATTCACGTCGTGAGTCCGTTATCAGGAGTTTCTCAGTATACGCGTAATTACGATTTCACGTCGTGAATTGTCTCAAACTCACGTCGTGAATTTGAGATTTTTACAAGTTCGAGGCCCTTGACATTTTAGTCTTCCATGGGTTGATGCTATTCTTCTTGTCATGTTGAAGATTATTTTGGCTCATTTTTACTACCATACAATGTGGCGTCTGCTTTCCCACATTGGTAATTCTTCTTTTGGAGATTTCCACCACGTCTGAAGATGATTGAAGGCTCGATTTCATGTTTTGTCGGTACATTCCTTATTTCGCGAGTTCCAGATCCAAGTTTCTATTTTCGGAGTCCATATTCAAGATGCACGTTTTCCACACTTTTGGAGATGTTTACGCCACTATCCTAGGGGAGTCTGTTCCTTTTTCTTCAATTCTTTTAATTTTGATTTATTTTATGCATAAAATGAGGGCATTGTATGAAATAAGTATGAGGTAGGAATAGAAAAAGTAAATTGCTAGATAGTGATAGAATTTGATTGTAAAAATTGAAAAAATTGAAAATTGAAATTTTTAATAATTGAATATAGGAATAATAATTTGAATTGTAGTTGCTAGTGTTATGTGGGATGATCCGATAAAAGTTCAAATGTTTAGTTGAGCCAATACACGTTATAGTGCATTTGTGGCCTCCCTTATTTTAGTGAAATAATGGAACAAAAACATAACCCCACTTGGTTTGAGGGATGCAATATGTTTAGCAGTCTAAACCTGAAATGTATCCAGGAAAATTATTATCATTAACCAATAAAAGTTGAGGTTGAGCGCCTCTGCTTAAGCATGTAGGTTTTGAGTGAAAAAAATGTGAGGTACATGTATATAAAAAAAAAATTAAAAAAAAAAAAAAAAAAAAAGAGAATTGCAAGAAAAGTTTGAAAATTTTTGGAGCAAATAAAGTGAAGATCAAAAGATCAAAATTCCAAGAAATTCAAAAAGTTGAAGATACCAGAAATCAAATAAGGTGGTGAATTCAAAGAAATCAAATATCAAATTATCAAGGAAGTGAGTAATTCCAAAAGAGCTCCATAGTTGTACCATAGATTATAATTCTAGATTATGTATGCTTAGGTTGCTCAACTAAAAATACCTTGAGGATAAGGAGGTTTTCTGCGGATGGATTCGGTGGGTTGCATAAAATAAGCATTGTTCGGAAAAAGTGGGCGAGTGTTTATGAAGATTGTGAGTATTTAAAGTATGGGGGGGGGTACTTTAGGAAATTTTAGACACAAATGCATGCGTTCAGGTCTTGGCATAATGGCTGAGCTGGAGTCGAATTTTTCTATGTGATGTTAGTAATCAAGGGTTAATTTTAAATTTGCTTGAGGGCAAGCAAAGTCTAAGTGTGGGGTATTTTGATATTGTCATATTTATATTTATTTTTAGGCAATATTTAAGTACATTTTTATTAATAAGTTGGTGATTTGTCTAGAATAATGGTACTTATGAGCTTAAATGTTTTTTGCAGCAAAAAAGAAGACATTTTGAAGAAAATGGACTAAAAGCGTTGAAGAAAGAAACTTTGGGAATTAAAATATTAAAAGAGAAGAAAATCTGGAAAAAAACGTTCTCACGACGTGAGAATTAAAGGATTCACGACGTGAAGAGCTGTTTCTAGAAGATATGTACGCGGGTGAAGGAATCCTTGAAGGGCACGATTATCTACAACTCACGACGTGAATTTCTTATTATTCACGACGTAAATTTATGGATATCGGCAACTATATAAATCCTTGACCATTACGAATAGAGAACTTTTTGGATGAAGAAAGGAGTTCCAGAAGGCAATTTGGAGCTAAAGAAAGGTTCTGGGAAGAGGCTTTCAACGCCAAAAAGAGTAAAAGGTCCATATTTTAGTTAATTAAGAACATGTTTTGTATCACTTTGATTTGTGTTAGTTTGTTAGTTGCCATGATGAGCAGTTGAATCTAGTTACTCTTGTTTAGCTAGATGAAGCTTCCAAGTTATGAATAGTTTAATTTTTATGGATTTATTTAGTTGGTAAATTTGCTTGTGTTTGATTTGTGTTACCTAGCATGCTTATGTTTGTTTCTCTAATTGCTTGATTGCATGTTCTGTGTAGCTTAGTGACCATTAACTGCATGAACTTGTTTACCTAATGATTTAGTGAACATTGAATTGTTAGAGCTAGGATTTACCAATCTTAGTTAGTAATTAGAGTAAATAAGTTTAGTTGTGCTAGAGAACGTGTATTGTGACTATAATTGCGTTTATATAACAAATCTTATATAGCATATTTACATTCATAATTAGTTATGTGTTTGACTGTGTGTGAACATACATAATTTGACATGAATTAGTTAATTATTGGTAAAGTTAGAACTAAATTACTAATATAATTCAAACCAAATCAATAATCCATAATCATTAGCTAGCCATAAGGAAGAAGTGGATTCAAACTAGACAAGAGTGTTTTTTTACTTATTGAATGTGAGTTAAGTTCGTCTGATCTGGTAAAATCAGATAAAATCCCTTTTAAACTTGTTAATAATTAGGTTAATTTAATAGTAAGTAGATTATTTAGTAACACCGTTCCCTGTGATCGACACCCGACTTACCCAAGCTATACTGTAATCCGACTAGGTACACTGCCTATAAGTGCATAGTTAGTTTAAGTTTGTTAGGTTATAAATATTAAAATTAGTGGGTACTTTTGTGCACATCATGTACATAACTTACTTTAAAGAGCTTTAGGTTTATGTAATTATGAAGTGAGATCTTCAAATTTAGGAATTCCTTTTGTATTTAGTTTATTTAAGTTGATGAATTTGTCATATTCAAATTTAGTGATTAAAAATTTGATATTTTATTAGTTTGTATTCATCTCTCTCTCTCTTTATGTGTGTGTCTGTGTAACATCTGCTTTCTAGGTGTTATTCTTTTGGGTTAAATGTTTTGAATCTTAGAAATTATGGGAGTATTGGTTGACCTTGGTGTGGCGGTGGAAGATCACAACGGCATGACCACGTCATTAAGTTAGATGCATGTTCTTGTCGACCGCAGCGTGACGAAACATTAGCCACGACACGGTGGCAACTAAGGTTTAAAACCTGAGACCCCCGGGTTTGAGCCCTATTTAAAGGTTCTAACTTCTAAGGTTGCCTCACTTGGCAACCCCACTCTCTGAGAATGAAATTCTCCCAAACCCTATCTTACATAAGTGTTTATTGAGTGTTTGAGCTTCATTTTGTGAAGGTCGAAGGAAAAAAGGAGTCCCTCTTGTTGCTTAAGTGTTTGGTTCCAGTGTAGATCCACCATCTCCACCTCATATTTGATAATTTAGAGGTATGAAGCTCCTAATTTGGTTATCATTTCATTAAATTTAGCTTTGAGCAGTTTTATGAGCTTTTTCCAAAAGACTCTATGTTCTTGGAGTTGGAGTGAACTCCAGAACCACTTGGTGCATGTTATGACTTCTTGGCCATGGTGGTGGTTAGAAATATCGCTCACATGACCTAGCTTTGTGTTCATGCACTTGGTATATCCATTAAGGACTTAGGTTTCTAGATATTGACTTATTAGGATGTATTAATTGATAAAGTTGAGTTAAGTGTTTAATCCATTAAGCTATTTTAGGCTATTGCCGCAGTGCGATGAGTTGAACACCACGAAGCGGTAGGGGTTGAAACTCGACTACTCTGTCTTTTAGCCACTACAATGCAACTATGGTGTTGGCCATGGCATGGTGAATCGACCGTTGACTTTGATCATTGACTGTTGACTTTTGTCCAGGTTTACTTTTGGTCAACTTGAGGGTTTTAAGTTGTAGACTGAGGTTGACCTCTAATTGATGCTTAGGTGTGTAACGTCCTGAAAATCATGACATAAAAGTTTTTGTTTCTAGATTAGTAATCATTAAGACATTTCTTTTTCATAAAACCAAGGTAAGCAAAAGTTAGCTAAAACATCATCAAAATCAGAGTGATTCACAGAATGCGAAAACATGTGGTATGTGCCCTACAATCTTCCCGAGCTCTTTCATTTGAAAACTGGAGTACCTAAAACATAAACTGAAAACTGTAAGCTCAAAGTTTATTGAGTTCCCTAAAATACCATATAACATACAACCACAGAATATCATGCAACATACATATAGTTGATATGGGTTCCCCCTATGATCTTTATCCGGTATGCCATGGGCTCCCCAATGGTCTTTACCTGGAATGTCATCGGCTCCCCCATGGTCTTTATCTGTGAGATTCAAAGTCTAAGGTGAGTTTCCTCACTGTGTTTAGCGGTTTGAAGGCACCATTTTTGGCTCATGGCTTATATGTTAGGATGTTAGATTTATGTGTGACTTTTGCACGTGTTATATGATGGTATGCTTATCGGGCACGACCCGATGCCAGGCGGGGCCTGATTAGTATATTATATGTTAGTTATCAATATATGTTTTATGCTTACCTGGCGAGGCCCGATACTTGAC